AGTGGAAAAAAACTGGGGGTCCCGGTAACAGAAATCTAAGCCAAAAACGCCAGTGCCTTTGTGTGCACAAAAAAGGGCCAAAAAGCTAAATTTATTTTTCTCAAGGGAATTAAAAAGTAACAGGAAATCCAAAAGTTTTTTTTAACCGCTCCCATAAATAGTGAAGCCTCCCCTTTTGTTATGCCTCAGTTTTTGGTCTCCTTACTCAGGAGGATAGACTCATTAGAGAACATACAAGAAAAATGACAAAAGGGGTTTACTGTGTTAAGGGGAAAACCCCCTATGAAAATAGACTTTTAAACCTTAAATCTCCCCTCTCGGGAGGCGGAAATGAGAGGGGGGTTTTCATTGAAAATGTATTAATGGGACAGGCATAAAAAGGGAGATATTTAAAAAGGACAAAGGGGGCCGTAAATTAACCAGTGGTGAACCCGCATTTAATTCAGTTACCCGTATTAACTCTGTGAAGAAAATGTCTTTTTGCTCCCGTGGACCCGAAACCCAAAAGCCCTCCCTTTGAGCAAATTTTCCGCAAAGTAAGGAAAAATTGAGGGCAGCGAAGATGGATAAAGGCGAAATTTAACCCAGGAAAACAAGAGGATTCCCTTAGTTTCCCCCCTGTTTTGAGTCCCCAGGTCAAGAAAGGGGTCGGTTTGGGCAGTGGCTGGACACAGGGGGGCGACGAAATTGGGCGATCAAGAAAACGAAGGGAAAGCCAAAAAAACGAAAGGGAAAAAGAAAGGACTGCTTGGAAAAATTCCGTGGAAAAACCCCCAACGCATTCTCGGTCCCCTTTTAAACCCCTAATGTGAGTCGACAATGGGGGTCTCACGTTTAACGACAACAAGGAAGGGAAGAAAATTGGTTTGTTGGGGAAGCCAGGGTTTTTACATGGGTTTGGGCATTTTTTGCTGAAGGAAGGAGTAAAGGGGACAAAGGGTTTTGCTTTCCCGGGGGTGAGATGGAGGCATTGTTAAAACCCGGGTTGACAAAATTTTAAAGAACGGGTTAGGGATCAAACCTAAATTTTTTGCCCCAGGGCTGGAGGCAATGATGTAAAAAAGGTAAAAAGTGAGGATTTTGTTTTGAAAGTTTAGGGCAAATTTTAGACATGATTAGGAGAAGGGGGGAAAAAAAAAACCCCCAAAAACCCCCTGTTATATATGGCATTTTGCCAAAAAGGGTGTTGGTAATGGAAAAGGTTGTCCCGAGCAAATTTGGGATTTTAATTTTTTGGCTGGATAAACACTGTAAAGGGTAAAAGCATACCATTAAAAGACAACTGGGAAAAACTTTATGGCCGAAATGACCGTAAACCAGGGGTGGGGTCCTTTTCCCGGGGGGTGTGGGGTTTTTTTGCTAAATCAGTTGAGGGGGTTGTTGGAAATTTAAAAATAGGATTTGGGTTTGAGGTAAAGAGTTTTTTAAAAAGATAAATTTAAAGAGTATGGTTTTATTGGGCTTATGCTCTGATATTAAAAATCTTAATAGTTAACTTTATGGAAAAACTCTGGGGAATGATTTAAAATTTTAGAAATTGGGTAAAAAAAAAAAGATAATAGGGAAAAAAGTGCAGAAGAAAAAAAATATGATGGGATTTTTTGCAACGTTTGAAGTGCAAGGGAAAAAAAATTAAGAAACTAAAGTTTGGTACATGTGCTGGGGAAAAAAATTTTATCATTGCATTAAAATGAAAGTGGTAGATTTAAAAAAATTTTGGGGTAAGACGCTTGGGGTGTAATATTTTGGGATTTTAAATTGTTCAATTTTGGGTGGGTTAATGGGGGAAAGGGGGGGGGGTTTGCATTGTAGTCCGGGGAAAAAAATTAATTGTTGCATAAAAAAGGATAAAAATAGATGGAGCAGTAAAAAGAGTCTGTTTGGGTAGGAAATTCGTGGGGGTCAAGAAAAAATAATTCTAGGGGGTTTAAAATTCCGACCTCCCGGGCTTTGGTTACGAATTTGAGGGACTTTTTTGGGACGAAAAATTTTTGGGCTTCTGGACCCCAGTAACAAAGTAAAAGTTGGGGACTTAACTTTAGTCCCAATTTACTGGGAAATTTTTGAAAAGGTAATCTAGAGTCATGCTTTATGGAAAAAAGTTCAGGACGTTTTCTTTAAACAGAGCGTAACTGAGCTAAACCGGGGTAATAATTTTCTAGCCTAGTCTTTTTAAATAAGGAAACACCGTGAATAATCCGGGAAACACGAAGAGCTTGGGCAAGGGTCACAAATCCTCACTTTTTGCTTAATTTTGGGAAAGCAAAAAATGATATACAGTAAAAATCCCGATTTTTTTGTTTCTGGGGGATTTTAAAAGGGCTTAGGGGAAAACTTCTAATTTTTTGATTGGGGTTATCTAGCCAAAAGTTTTTTTTGACGAAATCATGCTTTGAATTTAAGGGGGTCGGGTTTTTAGATTGTTTTTTTAATAAAAGTTTCACTGTGCCCCAAATATATACAAACCCCCAAAAGAAAATTTGGTTTTTAATAATAACCTCCCAAATGGGAAAAGGAGGGTAAAGCATCTTTTGGGGGAAAAGGGGAATTTATAGGACATTTAGAAAGGGAGGTTAAACCCCCAAATGACCAAAATGGGTTTAGCTTAAAGGAAGTAAAAAAAGGGGATTAGAAAAGGGTAAACGTGACTATGAAATTAAAAAGTTGTAATGAATCAAAACTAATCCAAAAGGGGTTCTTTTAAATGTTTTGGACCCAAGGGTGGGAAAAAGTTGGACCCCTGAAAACTGGGGAAAAGGGGCAGGGAGGATAAAGAACTGGAAATGTGTTGCCCTTTTTTAATAACTAAATTTTTTCAGTTTTTACCAGGAAGATGTAAATGAGATTTCCCTAATTTTAAAAATTATTTAGTTTCCCGATGAATTTAAGTTAAAATAAATTTTTCTGCCGGGGACATGGTTATTAAACAGATAGAAAAACTGAAACAAATTAAATCCCCGGGGCCGATGAGGGTTTTTTTCAAGGGACTTAAGGGAAAGCAAGTGGAGCTTATCAGCCTTTTAACGGGGGTATTCAATGCGTCCCTCCCCTTTCCGGTTGGCCCGAGTTGTGGAAGATGGCTAAAGTGGTTTCCCATATTTAAATCAGGGGTTTTAAGGTTTCCCCCCTTTAAATTTCCCCCCTCCCAAAAGCCTGACATCTATAGTGGGGAAGTTTTTAGAAAAATTATGCTAAAATTAAACAGAAGTCACCTGAAAGCATAACTTGATAAATGAAATTTTCAGCATGGATTTCACGGAGGTCGTTCCGCCGACAAATTACGAGTTCTTTAAAGGAAAATTTTAGGCAGTTTCAGTGATAAGAATATGTTTTTTGTTTTTTTTTGGATTTTTGTAAAAACCTTCGACAGAGTAAACCCCACAAGAGACTCTTAAAAAAAGTGGCAGCTCCCTGGAAAAGGAGGTAAAGTTCTACTGGGGTTGAGGCATGGCTTTCCAATAGAAAGCGGTTTTCCAAGGAGTGAAATTCTGGGAAAGGGGGGTTTGTCCCCAAATGGCGTTCCCCAAGGAAACAGTTTTGGCCCCCTCCTATTCTTTAAATTTTCCCTTAATGACCCTTTATGAAGGGTTACTAGTGACATGAGTAAGTTTGCTGGATAAAAAGAATTTGGCCGTATAATTTCCCTGGGGGGATATCAATGAACTCCCGGGCGATTTTTAAAAAATTAAATGTCTTGGTTCCCAAAAAAGGCAGATGAAGTTTAAAAGTGGGGTAATTTTAAAGGGACTTGCCCCCCTTTGGTTTAAAGAAAAAAAACCCTCCGGGGCAAATCAGGGAATTTGACTTGGTCATACAGAAGTGAAAAAGACTTGGGAGTCATGGGAAGCAGAAATCTAAAGCCCAAAACAGTGTGCCCCTTAAATGTGGCCCAAAAAGGCCCAAAAGTTACTTTGGGTTTTCTCAGAATATAAGTAACAAATCCAAAATTATTTTAAAAGCTTATACATCACTAGGGAGGTCATTTAGATTTTTTGCTGCTCAGTTTTTGGGGGCCCCCCTTTTAAGGGTGGACTGGGCCATTAGAGAAAATCCCGAGAAGAATGCTAAAATGATTTACTGGGGTAAAGGGAACCCTTTCCCCCTTTAAGATAAATTAAAGCCTTAAAAATCTCCCTCTTGGGGAAAGGGGTAGAATGAGGGGAATATAAATTTAAATGTTTTAATGGATGAAGGGGCCCTAAACAAGGGGGACTTAATAAAAAAACTGAGGGTGTCAAACCAGGGGAAGAACCAGGAAAAATGGGTTTTTAAATTGGGTAAATTTAGATTTAGAAAGGACATAGGGGAAGTACTGGTTTTTTTTAACAGAGTTGTAGATGGTGGAAAAAGTCCTTTCCCCTGGGGTGATTGAGGCTAGGACCTTGGGTACTTTAAGAAGAGACTGGAAAATTATATGATGGGTGGGGTGGGGTTTTATTGGGGGTCAAAGGGGGAGGGGGTTATTCTTGATAGCTTTTTGGTTTGAAGTCGTTTTTATAAGGCCCGGGCCCCGTATGGGCCAGTAAGGGCCCTTTTGCAGGGTTCCTTTCATTCTTTTTTCAATTTAGTTATAGATTTGTGTGGTTTTTACTCTTTAAAAAGATTTCCCATCAAGGGGTTTCCGCAAGATCCCCCCACCTGCCCCCAAAAACCTTCCCTCAAGGGGTTCACTAAAAAATCGGTCATCTGGAAAAATTTCCTGATGGGAAAGGGAAAAAAACAACAAAAAAAAAAACCCAAAAGCAAATTCCACAATCCCAAAAAAAACCTCAAAAATTGGTATTAAACTGTGTCCGGGGGGTTATTACTAATACATAAATGGAAATTAAAATAGTCAGGCCCCGGCTGACCTTTTTTCAGATTTTTGAGTCCCCGGGCCCCTGACATGTCTTTTCCAGAGGTACTTACTTTTTTACTTCCGTGAGCCAGTGTTTAACGGTGTTTTCGAATTTTCCTCATGGTTTTTTTAACGTTTCGACTTCTTTAACTCGTCATAGTACCCAAAAGTGACAAGAGTTTCTTTGTTATGTCATCAACCCTGTGAATAATTAAAACAGATTATACAAAAAAAAAAAAAATTACAATAAAGTAGGTGGAGATAATTTTAGCATCCTATGCAGGGACAAGAAAAAAAGTAGGAAAAAATTAGAGTATTTACTAATACTGTATAATTGTGGAATGTTAGAATACTGCATATTTGTACTACAACAATAAGAACCCTTAAGCAATTATATGAAAAAGTAATCACTAAATTAGACACCATGACCATGGTTCTGCTCCAATAATCAGTAATCAGATACTGGGGCCAGGAGCTATGACTACCCCTGCAACCACAAATATGCAAGTACAGTACTATACTACTGTATTACTCTGTCTTTCACCTTTAATTTCACTACTATAGAAGTATTAATGGTCTTCAACAAAAACTCATGTATTACACTCCATTAAAGAGGGTGCAAGTCACATTATTATAAAGCAAACACTTACTCGTCCATTGCCCACTTACTGGGCAATACCTGGAGACGGGCGTGTCCCTCGTCAGGATCTGTGTGAAGATCTAGATCGCCAGACTTCTCAGGCTTCCAGGACGGCACATACTCTGGCCTACGCCATACTATACCATGTTCTGTCAGCTCCAACCGCATGGCATAAGTCCGCTTCTGTTCACTGCCTGCATATATACACAATGTAAGTTACCAACTTATTTTAATTACTGAAGCATTACCCAAACATACATACCAGGTGTGAAGACAACAGCTGCCCAAACTAATTATACAAGATTAGGTTAATTTAGTATTGCTAATTACATGAGGGCATAGCAATTACAATATGATGGGGTGAATCGGGCACAGTCAGGCCGGGAGGGAAGGGGGGACGTCAGGCACAGTCAGTCGGGGGGGGGGACGTCAGGCACAATTATGCCAGGGGGGGCACATTAGGCACAGTCAAGCCGGGAGAGGGGGGGGAGCGCGTCAGGCACAGTCAGGCCGGGAAGTTGGGGGAGTCAGGCACAGTCAGGCAGGGATGTGGGGGGCGGCGTCAGGCACAGTCAGGCTGGGAAGTTGAGGGAGTCAGGCACAGTTAGGCTGGGAATTTTATTTTGACATGATACATATTTGTACAAAGGAATATAATAGTTGGGTGTACATGCCAAAAGCTCCTTTGTATGCAGAGCATTTCAGGCAAACTTAATATTAACTTAAGATTAGTAAGGCAATAAGAGATAATTACATGGTCATGTGAAGAGTTACAGTAGGTACAGGAGAATTAAGTTGTTACAGGAGAGTTAAGTTGTTAACAGGCTATAATAAGTTTAGTAGAGTAGTTCAGTAGTGAATAAATACAGTTTTAAGATTAGTTCATAAAAATTACATTACAAACAATGGTACAATTTGAATTAATTCACAATATGAAAATATTACAATGGAACAATTTAAAATTTACAATATGAAATTATTACAATTTAGTATTATTTAAGACAATGAAATTTAAGCATCCTAATTTTGAATTAACGAGTATATGATTGAGTAATCCTTAGCAAAATATACAGTAATGAAGTTGAATTAAGTTTAAGTTGAGCAGTCTTAAATTATTTTGAATTTTTTTTGCATAGCTTTTAAGTCACTGGTAGGTAATGAGTATGGTTTGTCTGGTTAATTTTGGGTGATGAGGTGACTTCTAGGTGGAGCCTTAAACTGATTCACAGACAGGGGTCCTCAAGTGTTCTGGCAATGAGTTCCAGATCTTAGGGCCTTATACGTGAATAGCATTTTTGCATAGGGAGAGATGGACACCAGGGATATTGAAGAGTGATCTGTGTCTTGTAATATGGCTGTGTGTTCTGTTAGTTATCAAGGAGGAGTTTGAGAGGAGGGTTAATATTTGAGTACAGTCAACTGTCGTTTAACACAGTAGTTACGTTCCTGAAAACGCTGTGATATTTTAAACCGTGTTAGACAAACTGAAGAACTTAAGGGAAAAATAAGGTTACATTCCTACGAGCCCCCAAAAAGCCAAACAACTTTTTTTAGACCAACAGATCTTACAAAAATAAAAGTGAATATGTAATTGTAGTTCACTGTCGTGATGTATTGTTGCTTTTACTGCTTAGGATTGCAAATGCAACAGAAATAATAGTATTTCTTACATTAATTTGTGGGTGCTGGTGTTTGTGGAGAGTTATGCTGTGGCCCTACTGGGCTGAGGTGGTTGGTAGAGGTTCTGGTAGTGAAGTCAATGGTTGTACTGGAGTGTGCATAAATCAGTAAAGTCAATAGGCCAGTCAAGTCAGTAAGTCACACAAACTCATTTACTTCATTCTTTTTGTGTATAAAGTGATGCATTCATTATGGCCACAGGCTATCTCTCCTCTAATACAGTGGACCCCCGCTTAATGATCACCTCCCAGTGCGACCAATTATGTAAGTGTATTTATGTAAGTGCGTTTGTAAGTGTATGTTTGGGGGTCTGAAATGGACTAATCTACTTCACAATATTCCTTATGGGAACAAATTCGGTCAGTACTGGCGCCTGAACATACTTCTGGAATGAAAAAATATCGTAAACCGGGGGTCCACTGTATATCTATTTTCTTCGTCAATTCTAAGACATGAATGCTAAACCTTTTCTTGCCACTTTCAACAACACTTGTATATGCCTACTAGGTGCCATAATTACTTGGCAGATTTAAGATATGGCAATTAACCCTTTCAGGGTCCGTCCTGTAGATCTACGGCTTCACGTTGAGTGTCCAAACCGTAGATCTATGCCAAAATTCTAGCGCCGTCAAATTTAACGCGAAAATGCTCATAGGCCTACATGTGAGACAACAGGTCTGTGTGGTGGGTGTGCGCCATAAACAAAAAATCTAGGCACCTGCATAGCATTGTGGGAACACCGGCTCAGTTACCCTTGTTCACCATGCCTCGTCGCAAGGCAGCTCTCACTCCAAGGAAAATTGGGACTCTCCTGTTCCGATCTGATAGTTCTGACAGTGATGGAAGTGGAAATGAAGACGAATTCTTTGGCTTTGATCAGTTAGTGACCGAAAGGAATGACCAGGATATCAATAATAGTGCAGAAAACCCTGACGATCCTCAACCTTCTACCTCTGGTGTGGGCACTCATCAGTCACGGTCGGTTGTACCTCAACGCAAGAGAAAACTATTATTTTCGCGTGGCCAGGCCTCTGACTTCAGTAATGATGATGACAGTGACGTGGATTGTGATTTTATTGCTCTTGACGATCATTCAAGTAGTGATAGTGAGGAAATGTATTCACCAGTGAAGCGTTGGTATGTACGCCGCCCCATGCGCTCGGGTAGTGTACCCCATGCTGTGCCCAGGGGGACGGGTACATCCTGGAGTAAATCCCCTGGCCCTACCCAGGTATAGATAGTGATAGTGAGGATGATGTGGTACAAATTTGGCCCTGGATAGACCACAGGCATCACTAGATGGTGGTAGTGGTGATGGGAGCACCATGGCATGCGTGACTCACCAGCCCAGGCTGGGACCCACGCTGCTGACTCCCCGTTTCAAGGACAAAGCAGAGCATCAGCCACCAGCCCACCACAACACAACTACCCGCACAACCAGCCTATGATGTACCCGTATCCACAGCAAACCGTTCTGGGATTGGCAGCAAAATCCCCAAATTTTGTTCCCAACCTCCACCACTTTAATGACTCTCAAAAGTGGAATTCTACCAACTTTTTCCCTTGGAAACCTGCAAATGAACTGGGAATTCTTTGAACTAAATTTTTTGACCAGCCCTTGATGGAAACTATTGTCAGGGAAAGTAATAAGTATTTTCAGTACACCATGGCAAATACGATTCATATCACCACAGTCAAGACTACACCGTGGAAAGAGACGACTGTTGCAGAAATGTATTTGCTTTTTGCAACAATAATGCTTATGCCTCATGTCTATAAGCATAATATAAAAGCATACTGGTTCACAGATCGGCTAATTTCTACCCCGGTCTTCAGTGAAATCATCCCAGTGAACAGGTTTATCTTACTGTTACGTATGTTGCACTTCTCTGACAAAACCAGGCCTGACAGAAGTGACAGGTTATACAAGATTAGAAATGTTTTTATGTATCTCAAACAAAAGTTCAGCATGTACTTTTATCCATTCAAGAATCTTGTAATTGATGAGTCTTTGATTTTGTTCAAAGATAGGCTGTCATTCAAGCAGTATATACCGAGCAAGAGGAAACGCTTTGGTATAAAACTGTTTGTACTCTGTAACTGTGACAGTGGCCTGGTATTGGATATTGTTGTATACACGGGAAGTAAAACATTGAAATACCAAGATGTTATTGGGTATCTCAGGTGACGTAGTGAGAAGCATGATGGCACCTTATCTTGGTAAGGGGCATACATTATATACCAATAACTGGTACACAAGCCCATTACTCAGTGATTTCTTGCGAGTGAACAAGACAGATGTGTGTGGCACAGTGCGTTCTAATTGTAAACATATGCCCAGGCTCAACGCAGGTGCTCGTGGTGATGACGTGCAGGTGTTTACTGCCAATGACATCATGGCATTACGGTGGCATGACAAACGAGATGTCACATTGTTGACAACCATTTACCGTAATGAAATGCAAGACAGTGGCAAAGTTGATCGAGTGACTAATGAACGTATTCGAAAAACCAGTGACAGTGATTGATTATACACAAACATGCGCTTGGTTGACAAATGTGACATGCAGATTGGCTTTGTTGATTGTGTTCGTAAGAGTTACAAGTGGTACATGAAACTTTTCTTCCATCTCATGGACATTTCAATGCTCAATGCATATAATATGTACCAAATGAAGACTGGCAACGGGACCACCGTATGGTGAATTTTGTTTGTCGTTGTCAGACAACTCATAATGAAGTACCAGGTAACAACACCTGCTACACAACAAGGTCCTCAAACTCCTCAGGATATACCCAAGCGTTTGAGGAGGGAAGGTGATCATTTCATAATACAGCTTCCTTCAACTCAGAAGAAATTTGCTCAGAAGAGATGCATCGTCTGTGCACAAACAAAACGAGGGCAAAAAAAGATGCAAAGACACTCGGTTTATGGGGTGAGGATGTAGGGGTACCTCTGTGCATGGTGCCTTGTTTCAAGGAGTTCCACAAGCTCCAGCAGTTCTAAAACCATGTCCAGTGATTGTAAATATTTAAATATATGATAGAACATTAGTATTATACAAGATTTGTGCATGTTTATTGTAATAAACAATAATATGATAATAACTTTAGTGCGGTTATTGTGTTTAATACAGTGAGTTTATATATATACATTTTATACAGTATTTGGGCTCTCAGGCCAAATGTTAGTAGGAAAAGAAAAAAAATTAGAAAAGAAAAAACTACAAGAAATGGTAAATAAAGTAATGTGCGTATGTGGAAATCGTCAATGTTGCCACCACCACGTCATTTGAGGTCAACTTCTCGGCACTGTATCTCGGTAAGTACTGATCAGAAATTTTTTTTTGTCTTATTACCTTCACAAAAATATACCCTTTAATTTGTAAAAAAAAATAAATTTTTTTTTTTTTCAAAATTTCTTGGACACTGGAGCCCACTTCCCGATTTTGGCCTTGGACCCTGAAGGGGTTAATATAATATGTATCTAAACAAACACAGCTCCCTCCCTCCT